TCATCACCTGGAGTGTACCATCACGGTTGTCGTGTGTATAGGTGTAGGACTGGCTGATACATGTGCTGTATATAGTGTACTGTTTAGCACTCACATGTATCACAGTGGCTTAAAAACTCTAGGGTACAGGAACTGTATCTATTGGTGGCTGCTGCACATCTTAGTTCACGGTACACTACCTTGCCTGCACCTTGTTGTTTCAAGAATGGAACTCTAGTAATGTTTCAAACAACCCAGACAGCTCTGTCTCTGTCTATCCCTGTCTCTCTTTTTTCCCCTGAGTATCCATGCCTCGTTTTTTATGCCCCACCGTAGAATGTAGGAGGAGGAGAGGGGTTATAGGGTCCCCTTTGTTAGCTGCTCGTACGATATTTGTTTCTGTTTAATAAAGAAAGAATAAATAAAGGTGTCTTATGTGGAGATAAATATTTTATGCAGTTTCATATCATGACTATCTAGGATGAGTTCTATAGCGTTAATGTTTCATATTTATTAATCAGAGTTATGGCTTCTGTTCGAACTTCTTAAATTTTGAGTTGGTCTTACACTCATAACCTTCAACGTCAGTCATATGTATTCATAACGTTTTTCATGATCACAGACTCTCTAATACTTGTTTGATATGTCCTTTCAGACGTGGCCGTCAATAACGATAACATCTAGTTATTGAAGAGCCAACTCTTGTGTCTTACCCATAATTTGGACGAGTGCACCATGGGAGTTAGTTACTCAAACTCCTAAACGTGAGCTGCACAACACAGCTGAACAACAAGGTAGAGTTCTACACTTTTGCTCGATCGGAAAAGTACTATTCATTTACAAATAATCAATCCTCTGATACAAGAAAGGGCAAAATATTAGTACACGAGGCAATCAACGGAATGAAAGAACTCAACTTATTCTTAGCTGTAGATGTTAGGTGAAGCTTAATGATAACAAACTACACATCGTTAAGATGTGACATTTGGCGTAGTACTGCGATAAGACAAGTGTAGCGCCTTTTATGAGGTGCGTGACGTCTCGAGGCTTTTTCTGCTGTAACCAATCAGTGGAGGCGATGGTTGTGAGACGTCATTAAGGTAAGAAATACTTTTGTATAGAGATGTTGACCCCAAGGGAGCAGCAGTTCTCTGGTGGCTGCCCCTCTGCAGTTGAGCCAGTTATGGCAAGTGCGAGTGTTCCTCATATAGAGTTCCTGGTACAGGCAATCACCTCGCTTCCAGCGTGTTAACTTACGTTCACCACACTCCTTAAGCCAAGTAAGAAGCCTCCGGGGGGATGGAAGACATATCTTGTCGTTGATCATTTAAATGATCCTTTCCTTCGAGACGGGACTCCATCGTCGTGAGTACATATACTGAACACCTAAACGTCGATTTCCTTGTATGTTCTTTTCATGTGGCTACGTACGGTACATAGCAGACGGCTGTGATGGATCTTCCGGTAGGAACAGGAACAGTCAATCACTCGTTAACTAAAGAACTTGGATTCTGGAGTCATGTTTCAGTGGAGTGAGATTCCTACATTCCTGTTTCTAAGATGTATATCACACTGTATATAGTAGTAGAAGTGTACTGTTGCATGTAAACTTGACATATGTACAGTAGTCGTCTATATTTTTAGATAATTTAAAATATATATTTACGAGGTTTCACTGTAAGAACATAATAACTAAATAATCAACTTCGTTTCTTAAATTTATTTAGTGTCGTCAATGAACAATGGAAACTCACAGTACGGCCTATAAATACACAGTGGCTTGAGTGTTTCAGGAGTTTCACCAAGTTCTTAGTCTTTATATTATTATCACTGTTTGTGTTATTTAATGGATATCTATAATAATCAGGTGAAGTTTATCTTGGTCTCACAAGTCATACTAAGAAATGTATACTGTGCAGACATCTCAGTGACAGGAATAAATTCTGTGTAACAAAAAGCTAATCACATGTGATATTTGTGTTACCAAGTAAGGCCAGCATGCATCCTTAACACGAGGCGACCTGCGTTATCACACGCTCTCGTATTCTCAGTATTTACACTAAGAAAACTTGTGTACGTCCCCGTGAACCTGTTCTCTCACTGTTATGTTTTACCTGGGTGTGAGGCACGACAAAACTACGAGGGACAACAACATGAGTGCTATTAATGTTATAGAATTTTCAATAATTACTTATACTCTTTAACATTAATTTATAACAGCACAAGGTAGTACATTATCTGAAATCAGTGCAGTTTTCTCGAAAAAAAATGTAGTATTGGTCCACTATTTTTTACGCTACCCCCATAAAAACAACAACAACACACACACATATATATATTAATATATATATATATATATATATATATATATATATATATATATATATATATATATATATATATATATTGTTATTACCTGGAAAACATGGGGTTCGAAGAGATACAATTTTTTAAGTAGTTTGCGAGTAGTTTCCACATATGCACAAAATATATACTTTATAAAACATTTTATAAATAGTTACAGCGGTATAAGGAGTGTGGTGGCTGTTCCCAGAGTCGCTGGTTCGATCCAGGTGCACTACCTGTCCACCCAGCAGTGAATGGGTATCAAATTGAATAGTTGTGGAAGCGAAGGCGGTCAAGTAACGGCCACGCTGCCTCCTGGCTTACCGGTGGTTTAGTATACAGTGTGTGTAGTTGAAACCACGAACGAGACCATTCGTAATGTAAATGGATCACCTGAAGAATAGCTTCCCAAGTGCTCTCCTGAAGTTTTGTCCCTAAATTAACTTGCACGAAGTTTTACCAACCTGAAACTGTTTGGGTTGGGGAGAGGGGGAGGCTAATCTTCAGGTGATCCATTAAGGTTAAAAGTATGAATGGTCTCATTCGTGGTCACGACTACAGCACTGTGTGTTGTATCTAACAGGCCAATGAAATCCTTTTAAGTAAAAACATTTACACGTGCTTAAGATAATAGATAATACAGACAGCGGATCAGTACAAATACAAAAGTAAAAGGCGAGAGAAATGTTATACACTTTTGAATAAGCATTTATTTGTTTATGTTTTATTAATCTTATATTTCCGTTTATATTAATCACCAAGGAAGCACCACTTATCTCTTCACTAGTGTTGTCTTTATGCTCGATAACGTCATACAATGTGTTTCTCCTCACATTTCTTCTCGTTTCCAAGTTGTGAACAATTTCGCTCAGCTCAGAATGCTCAACGAGTTCTAGTTTTTCTGCAATACTCGTATGGTATTTCCCAGCGGGGACAGCGAAATATCACCACCACTGGCAATTGCCATTGTAGCGTATACAGATCATCAACCGTAGGCTATCACGAATAGGGCGCTAAATTAAACACCAAACTTACAAGTAAAATTGTGTGCGACCAGGCAGACTAAGGCCTCTCCCGTAACAACTGAACGAGAAGACACATATTGAGTGATCAGTTTCTCAGAAATGCAATAGAGAAAAAGATAAACGTATGCAAGAAGTAAAAATAAACGCTTGAGCTCTTGATATGATGTAATACAAGAGGAGGAACGTCATTGAAGGAGGTCAGTAGTGCATCACGAGACCAGTCTAGCGGCCTTGTTGCGCTAACAGCTACCAGACGCCGCCATGTTGTTGTTGATAACACAATGTTTCGGGAGCGATCCTTTTCATCCTCGATGGATGTTGGTCTTCACTGGTCTACATCATGTGGCTGG